CTGATGTGAAAAACAGAACGTTTTCTGCGGGCTCTATTTGACCAAAATACATAGATGGTTTGCTTCTCTGCCCCCTTCCTCACACCTCTTCACAGGAAGACAGCATCCATCTGTTGAGACTTTTGTCCTTAAAGGGACATAAAGTCTTCAAAGAAAAACTACAGTCTGGTCGCGTTTAGGTTAGATACTTAGGGCATCTGATCTTGGACGCAGATGAAACCCCTCATGACTGCTTACTGCTAACAGATAACCTTTTGACACCCACTGACAATTTACAAGACTCCTCTAAACAGATGCAGATTTTTCATGGTTTATTTATAGTTCTTATTTATTTTTTTTAATGTTTTATTTTATTTTTGAGAAAGAGAGACAGAGGGCCAGCGGGGGAGGGGCAGAGAGAGAGGGAGACACAGAATCTGAAGCTGGCTCCAGGCTCCGAGCTGTCAGCCCAGAGCCTGACGCGGAGGCTTGAGCTCACAAACTGTGAGATCATGACCTGAGCTGAAATCAGACACTTAACCGACTGAGGCACACAAGTGCCCATAGTGATGGTTCTTATTTATAGAATGAAAATGGTAAATACTGTCCTGGGAATGCTTTTCCCACTCCCTTGAAGTCATTAAGGCAGTACCTTTACCTCTGGCTACTTCAGCCCAATGTCAGTGAGTTATAGGCTGAGTTATATGCTCTTACTCAGGCTTGTACTTTACCCGTGGGTAAAACCTCAAACATTTATACTGATCCTTGATATGCTTTGAGGTAGCTCATGACTTTGGAATATTGTGGAAACAATGAGATGTTCTTATCTCCAATGGGAATAATATTAAAGATGGCTCCTATGTCCAAAATTGATTAAATGCCACACTTTGGCCAGCTGCTCTGACTCTTAACGTTCCTGGGCACTCCAGGCTCGACTTCTTGAGGACCAAAGTAATCCACCCTGATGATATTTCCATCATCAAAATGGAAATGCTGCTCTCAAGGAGTCCAATAGCCAAACCCCTGTTATAGTCTAAAGAGATGGTCTCTCAAATGATAATTTTGGAGACATCAACAAAAGATACCTAACAATTGGCCCCAGAGAGGGGAAAAACAGCTTTGGAAATGTATCATTGTAGGTTCCACAAGAAGAGAGAGAACTCTGGTCGGGACCAAATAATAATCGGCCCTACTAGAAATTCAAAAATTCCCAGTACTTACAACCGTACACACATTAAACCACTGGTCTGGGGCGCCTGGGTGGCTTGGTCGGTTAAGCGTCCGACTTCGGCTCAGGTCATGATCTCACGATCCGGGAGTTCGAGCTCCGCGTCGGGCTCTGTGCTGACAGCTCAGACAGAGCCTGGAGCCTGTTTCAGATTCTGTGTCTCCCTCTCTCTCTGCCCCTCCCCTGTTCATGCTCTGTCTCTCTCTGTCTCAAAAATAAATAAACGTTAAAAAAAAAAAAAAAAAAAACACTGGTCTACTGACAAAATGACAGCATTCGTCAATGAACTTTTGTGGTGAAAAGTTCGTAAGGGCCACACAAAGTGCCTCTCTCACTTGCCCCACGTGTCCAAAGTATAATCCAGGGAAACCTGTTCATATAAATGGATTTCATACAGCTTCCCCATCTCATGGACAAATATGTTTTAGTTATGGCTCATATGCTTTCTCACTGGACCAAAGTTTTGTTGTGTAGACAGGCCAATGCTTCCTCTGTTAGAAAAGATGATCACAGGGCGCCTGGCTGGCTCAGTCGGTAGAGCATGTGAGTCTTGATCTTGGGGCTGTAAGTTTGAGCCCCACGTTGGGGAAAAGAGATTACTTAAAAATAAAATCTTTAAAAAAGAAAAAGATTATCACGACCTGGGGAGCCCCTCTCAAACTTCACAGTGATCAGGGAATCCATTTTGCCGGTTGGGTGCTTCAACAAGTACTAATGGACTATTAAGACTCAAAGGGAAAAATTTGTAGAAACCCTCCAAACACCTTGACCTAAAGCATTGCTGTTGGTCCTCTGAAACTCAGATCCACCCCCTTAGCAACTCTACTCTCCCCCTATGAGGTAGTCGCAGGACATCCAAAACACTTGGCCTCTGCCTCCTTTGACCCACAGCTGATAAAAGGAGATATATTTCAATAGTGTAAAGGCCTAATGGCTTCTATTAAAAATGATCATGCTGGGGCACCTGGGTGGCTCAGTTGGTTAAGCGTCCGACTCTTGATTTCCGCTCAGGTCACGATCTCGTGGTTCGTGAGATCAAGCCCCACATCGGGGTCTGTGCTGACAGCTCAGAGCCTGAAGTCTGCTTCTGATTCTGTGTTTCCCTCTCCCTCTGCCCCTCCCCTGCTCACACTCTGCTTCTCTCTCAAAAATCAATAAAACATTAAAAAAAAAAAGTTTTCATCACAAGAAAAACAAATTTTAAGAGGAAAAAATAAACTTTTAAAAATAAATGAATAAGTAAAAATAAAAACCAACTATTAACTGACATTGGATTCTTATACACATCCATGGTCTCTGAACTTACAACTTTACAGACTATTATTTGATAACATTTGTTTTCAAACCAGTCCATTTGAGATAACTATTTATTTATTCTCTCTTTTTTTTTTAAGTTTTTATTTATTTTTGAGAGAGGGAGGGGAAGAGAGAGAGGAAGAGAGACAGAATCCCAAGCAGGCTCTGCACCATCAGGGTAGAGCCCAATGGGGGCTCAAACCCATGAACCGTTAAGCTCATGACCTGAGCTGCAACCAAGAGTCGGATACTTAACTGACTGAGCCGCCCAGGTGCCCCTTCCTCTCTTTTTAAAAAGATTTTATTTTTAAGTAATCTCTACACCCAGCATGGGGCTTGAACTAACAACCCTGAGATCAAGAGTCTCACGCTCCACTGACCAAGCCAGCCAGGCGCCCAAGATAACAATATATGTTTTTTTTAAGTCTTTGAAGTGTTGCTGCTTTGCATCGGATCATCCCAATGCACTTGATTCCTTCTTCTCGTGCGCTCTGGCAGTGTTTACCATTCTGCTTTCATGGTTGCTTTAGGCAGGGACTTCCAGGAGGCATAGGTGAGTCCAGGTCTGCCTTCATAGCCAGAAACTTTTCTTCCCTAAGTTGGAATAACTGCCAATAAACATTTTCAGCTGGCTACCTTCAGACCTAAGGTCCTGATTTAGAACCAACATACAGGTTGGAATTGTCACGTTACTTTTGATTCTGTACTTGTTGCCTATCAATCTTTCATTTAAAAAAAAATGTACCCAATAAGATTATACTGGCTCCATACTTCAAGATGACCTCCAACGCTGATAACCTTGAGAAGATACAGACTTGAGATGGGAAATGCCTGAGAGCTCTCCCTCCTAGCCCTCCTTGCTATGCCAACCTGGCCTTAAGTGGTTTCCAACTGCTATGCACTTTCCTTCCAAAGTGGGGCGTGACAACCAGAAAAGGTCCTTCCAGGGACTTAGGGACAAAACCACTATACGCAAAATACCTAATTCTTGATCAGCGATGCTTTCAAGGAAAGATCTTGATCAAAAGAAGGAAATGTGAAAATTAATGAAGCAGAACTGGGGAGCTAGAAGGGGAGGCTGGCACTCCATGTCAATTACAGGAAGAATGGTCAATTACAGCCTCCAGCAGAAGAATCTCAACAGGACAGAATAATCAATTACAGACCCCAACAGCGAAAATTGTACATAGCATCTTCTGTAAGAAATTCACCACCCTTGCAGCTCAACCAGTGAGAAAACCAGCATTATCCTGAACTCTTGCAATCCCTCCCAACTTCCTCCTCCTTCTCCATAAAATAATGATCCTCCCCTTTGTTGGACTTGCTTATGGTTTTGCTGCAGCTTGCTTGTCCTGGATTGCAATTCTCTGCTATTCCCCAATAAACCCATGTTTTGCTGCTAGGATAACTGGCGGCTTTACTTTTAAGGTTAATAGGAGGGAAGGCATTGTAAGTAACACCTCTGACTCCCCACTTCTGCCAGGATCAAACCTTTCACTACGATTTCATGAAAGTGGGCCCAGAGGGAGGAAGCACGAGGCTGCGCAGGAGGAGGGGAATCAATGAGGAGGAGGGACTTCTGGGAGGGGAGAGCAGCTCTGCTACCAGGATCCAGGAGCTAAGGGAGGAGCAGTGGGGCTGGGAAGTGAATTTGAGTTCGGCGCTGGTTTGGGGCATCTTCTCGGTGTCTTTGGTGGGGAGTGGCGGATTTCTGGCTTCTGAGCGCAGACCTCCAGGGCCTGGATCAAGCCCGGATTGTGTGCCAGCAGAGCCTCAGAGGCCAGAAGGACCTAGGAGCAGGTGTGCGGCTCCCGGAGCAGCCGCCCACTCCGGAAAACAGCCCCGGCCACGCCCACTGGGCCCTTCCAGGCCCCATGGATCCCGGCCAGCTGGCAGAGACCCCCTTCCCGACGACGCCTGTGCGAACGGCACCGAAAATGTGGGGAGGTCGGGGAGTGTCGAGCAGATTGTGATTTGCACCGCAACCCCTGCGAGCCCCGGAGAATTAGCTTGGGAACTGGGCGATGAAGAGCGAGGGGCGGGGTCGCAGGCCCCGGCCCCGCCCTCTCTTGGCACCCCCCCCCCCCCCCACTTCACTCCCCGCGCGTGGTGCCCCCTGCCGAGTCCTTCCTCCCAGGGCGCTTGGTGAAGGTGGGAAGAGGGGCCACGTCACAGTCTCCAGGCCCGGGGACCCGCGGCTCCGCCCCTCCCACCCCCGCCGGAGCGCTGGGCACGGATCTAAGACTCACCGGCCCCAGCCCAGGGCCAGCCCAGTCGCCGCCGCCCGCCCACAAAGCCACAGGCAGGTGCAGGCGCTGCTTAGGGGCGAGCGGGCTGAGCGGAGCCGTTAGCGCGCGCCGTCCGTCCGTGCGTCCAAGCCGTCCGCGCGTCCGTCGAGGCATCCCTCCGTCTGCGCGCGGCAGCTCCCACACAGGCCCGGCGGCCACGGCCCGTCGTCTTCCCGCACCCTGAGCCGCCCGGCAGAGCCGGCCTTGGCGCGGCAGCCATGTCCATGGGCCTGGAGATCACGGGCACCTCGCTGGCCGTGATGGGCTGGCTGAGCACCATCGTGTGCTGCGCGCTGCCCATGTGGCGCGTGACGGCCTTCATCGGCAGCAGCATCATCACGGCGCAGATCACCTGGGAGGGCCTGTGGATGAACTGCGTGGTGCAGAGCACCGGCCAGATGCAGTGCAAGGTATACGACTCGCTGCTGGCGCTGCCGCAGGACCTGCAGGCGGCACGCGCCCTCATCGTCGTCGCCATCCTGCTGGCCGCCTTCGGGCTCCTCGTGGCGCTGGTGGGCGCCCAGTGCACCAACTGCGTGCAGGACGACACGGCCAAGGCCAAGATCACCATCGTGGCGGGAGTGCTCTTCCTGCTGGCCGCCTTGCTCACGCTGGTGCCGGTGTCCTGGTCGGCCAACACCATCATCCGGGACTTCTACAACCCCCTGGTGCCGGAGGCGCAGAAGCGTGAGATGGGCGCGGGCCTGTACGTGGGCTGGGCGGCCGCGGCGCTGCAGCTGCTGGGGGGCGCGCTGCTCTGCTGCTCCTGCCCGCCGCGGGAGAAGTACGCGCCCACCAAGATCGTCTACTCCGCGCCCCGCTCCGCCGGCCCGGGCACTAGCACAGCCTACGACCGCAAGGACTACGTCTGAGGGGCGGCCGCGGGGAGACCCCACCACCCCACGGGCGACAGCGCCCACCGGTGCCGCGTTAGGCCTCTCCTCGGAGACCAGCCCCCCCTCCCCCCAGGTGCCAGGAGCTCTCACACTGGACCGGGAGGGACCAACCCCGCGGCCCCTT